AAAAAAAAAAAAAAAAACAACCCTCAATTGTCTACTAAGGTACAAAGAAGAACAAGATGAAATTTCTGGACTCCCAGGGATGGTGGTTCAGCTATTCTAAACACACTGCCTATGGGGTAGCCCTGCTCCTCAAGGAGCAGTAATCCCCTACCCCCCAAAAAAGTTTTAGTTTCTTTAGTAAGAGAGCCAGAAATACTCAAAATATAATGTGATAAATTCTAAAATATACTGAGAAATAAAGAGGTGTTATGGGAGCACAGAACATGTGACTAACTCCTTAGTTCTGTCATTTAAGCCAGTGCTACTTGAAGTATGGTGCCAGACTGTGAACTAAGTGCTTATTACCAATACATAATGAGATAAGGAACTTGAGGCAAACATATATCATAAAATAATAATTGCTAGAAAACAAGTATAAGCTAAACAAAACAGTGGCTTAGTGCCACAGTTAATGCACATTATGGTGCAAGTTCCTTTTCTGTCATGGACTCAGCAGTTAGTTTGTGGACTGGCTACTTTGAATAGCATTGAAGTTAAACTAAGTGAAGTGAAATATGAAAAGCCTGACAGACAAACGGGAGTAGAAAGATCACTTTAGATAGAGAAAACAGCATTTATAAATGCATATAGGGACCAGGTGTGGTGCCTCATGCCTGTAATCCCAGCACTTTGGAAGGCCAAGGAAGGTAGATCATCTGAGGTCAGGAGTTCGAGACCAGCCTGGCCAATATGGTGAAACCCCATCTCTACTAAAAATAGAAAAGCAGCTGGGTGTGGTGGCATGCACCTGTAATCACAGCTTCTTGGGAGGCTGAGGCAAGATAATCACTTGAACCCGGGAGGCAGCGGTTGCAGTGAGCCAAGATTGCACCACTGCATTCTAGCCTGGGTGACAGAGTGAGACTCTGTCTCAAAAAAATAAAATGAAAGGCCGGGCGCGGTGGCTCAAGCCGGTAATCCCAGCACTTTGGGAGGCCAAGGCAGGTGGATCACGAGGTCAAGAGATTGAGA